GTGGGGGGATGCACACACTGGCCTTCCTCACTGGGCGGGCCAGAGTGACCTCTTCTCAGCTTCTGAAATCCAAATTGTACTCCCACTCTGAGGCCAGAGAGGGTCACCAACCGTCCCAGTTTGCCAGGGATTGAGAGTTTTTCCAGGACATGAGACTTTTAGTGCCAAATCTGGGAGGGTTAGCCATCTGGACACTGTAGTATGAGAGCATTCAACACTGCCCAGGTGATCTAGTTGGAAGCTAAAACAGAAAACTGCAAGTTGGGGTACAGATGATGATTCTAAGACTGATGATGCTTCCCTTCACTGCTCTGTGCCTAATTCTGCTTTTAATCTCTATTGCTAATCTAGTAGGATGAAGCTTTATTTCCAACAATGAAAAAATGGAAGTCTGCTGGCATGTTCTGAGATGAAGGTGGCACCAAGGGAGGAATGACTGGTATACAATCTCTGTGAATGGAGGCACATCATCCTCAAAGTACTCTTCCTAATTCTAAACACATTATACACTTGGTATGTACTTGGCAATGTGGGCATGCAAGCATATATCCTGTATACCCCCAACTCTCATAGAGCTGACCATCCTATGGGAGACACCAACACAAGCATGATACACTGCATCTGCTTACAAGGATACCTAGTGGATCACTAAGATAGCAAAAGGCCATAGGAGCTGGGAAGGGAGACGTGGGGTACCTCTGCTAACTATACACCAGTGACTTTATATTCATTATCTCATTTAACAGCTGACATTTCTTAAGACCTTACCATGTGACTAACCCATTTAATGTTTACAACAATTCAATTATTATACCCATTCTATGAGTGAGGAAAATGAGGCTTTGAGAAACCAACTTGCTAAAGATTGCAAGTTACTAAATGAAGAGTTTGAATGGAATGCAGAAAGACTGAGTCTGGGTTTAAGCACTGAGATTGAATCTCCTCCCCTGTGGGTTGCTGGACTCTCAACACAACGAGTATGCTGGACACTCCGTCAACATCAGATGAAAACTGCAGGGGAGGCTCTGGGAACAGATGAGCGCAGCTGTCCATGGCAGACACGTGGCAGAGAGGAACCTGAGGTGGTCTCTGAGTTCTACACTGTGCAATCCCAAGTGTGATATCAGAAATGTCCCACCGGAGGTGTGGGAACTCAGAGCACTGATGTTCTAAAGGAAGCTGGCTGCTTGAATGCTGCCCTTCTGGCCCTTTGTTGCATTAGATTCTAAAGAATGCACACTAAGTGTGAAGCCAAATGCCTGACTTGTCATCTTGCAAGGGCTGAAGATGAGTGTGTCATTATTTTACATGTTTAGATTGCATCTGTAAGTTCTTCAAAACATACCCTTCTTATGCCTTGGAACATCTGAATAACTTGAGGCGCCTGGGTGGCTTGGTTGGGTGTCCGACTTCGCCTCAGATCATGATCTCATGGTGAGTTTGAGCCCCGTATTGGGCTCTGTGCTGACAGCTCAGAGCCTGGAGCCTGCTTCAGATTCTGTGTCTCCCTCTCTCTCTGCCCCCTCCCACCACACTCTCTCTCTCTCTCAAAAGTAAATAAACATTAAAAGAAATTTTAAAAAATGAACATCTAGGTAACTTGTGTTGCATATATAGGGTATCTGATATATGCAAATTAAATAAAAATGTGTTGATCTGATATACTATGACTGATTTTAATATGTTCATTGCTACAGACAACTTAGAAGTTAAGTGTTCTGGCACTAGTAACTACTGAAAGTGCTCATATCAGTAATAACAGTCCATAAGTACAGTATTCTTTATTAATTTTTAAAAATGTTTTATTTATTTCTGAGAGGGAGAGAGCATGAGCAGGGGAGGGTCAGAGAGAGAGGGAGTCACAGACTGAAACAGGCTCCAGGCTCTGAGCTGGCAGTCAGCACAGAGCCCGACGCGGGGCTCGAACCCATGAACCGTGAGATCATGACCCAAGCGAAAGTTGGACGCTCAACCGACTGAGTCACCCACACGACCCCAGAAGTACAGTATTCTTAGTGGACACTGGACTATGCTAAGTATCCCGAGCCTAACATTATATAATTTTTTAAAAAGCTTATTTACTTATTTTGAGAGAGAGAGCATGGGAGCAGGGAGAGGCAGAGGGATGGAGGGAAAAGGAAAGTGTGGGAAAGAGAGAGAGAGAGAGAGAGAGAGAGCGAGAGCGAGCATCTTAAGCAGGCTCCATGCTGCTAGTGCAGAGCCTGATGCAGAGCTCAATTCCATGACCCGGGGAATCATGACCTGAGCCAGAATCAAGAGTCAGACGCTCAACCCACTGAGCCACCCAAGCGCCCCTATAATTATTGTCCTCGGAAACATTCTCAATATCTTTTTGTTAAGTTTATAGGCTTTGGTTTGTGTAAAATGAACACATAACTCCAGACAATTAGGCATGAAAAACATTTGTTAATATGTAAAAGCATTAAAATTAATCACCCTGCAATTATGATTAAGAAAACATAATGGTAGCAAGGATTCTGTTTCAAGCAAGATTTAAAGAAATAAAAGGTTCTAGGGGAAAAACTGATACCCTTCTTGCTCACTTTCACTGTTAACAATTCCTGGCTACCCTAGTCGGGCTTTCCCCATGCCTCCCCAGAGGCTCTCTTCTGGAACACTGAGCTGTTCGGAGCCTTTCTGTGACTCTAGACTCCAGCCCGCTCCTGGCACTGCCAGGTGTTAGAATCCCTGGGCTCTTCCTCAGTTACTGAAAATGACTGATCACTTTTCGATGGCTAAGAAAGGCCTTCTCTATTGGCTTGCGTTCAGCTTCTTCTTACAATGGCCTTTATGCTTCTGTGTGTAAAGAAGAAACTGACTTTTGCTTCTATCCATCTGATGATTCTGCTCCTTTGGCTCAGTGAAACCAGCACAGTGAGTGCTTCAGAGAGCCTCTCCCTTCTGGTGGACCTTTGGGGAGGTATTTCCCTTCAAGGTTTCTCCACCCTCTTTGTTTCTGAGGCCCTCTTTCCTTTGTCCTTGACATTTTCTAAAATTAGCATTGTCAACTCTTTCCAGTCTTTTAACTCCCTTGAGCTGTTTGAGCACCTTTTCTTCGTGTACTGTTTACCCACAGTTGACTTTAAACAGGACAAAGTAGGAGAATTTCAATCGTGAAGCATTTCAGCTTTTTTCCACACTACTTGTGCAACTAAATTCAGGGACAACTTAGTTCCTGCCCCCAAGAACTTTATACAAAGCTGTTGTGAAAGAAAATGAAGAAAATGAGTACTTCTTTAGCCAATTATATACCTTATTTGTGTCTAGAAAGTCCTGGTTTGTTCCAGAACTCTCAGTGATGCAAACAAAAATATTTTTTTGCCATGTACTTTCATAGCACGGTAACAGATTTCAAGCTGAGAAACTTTAAAGGTGATACATAAATTTCTTTCCCAGACACAGATATTGTGCCATATTAAACAGCTCTCTCTTATTCCTTTTTTGTATTTTGATTCTTTAACAACAGAGCCTTGCTGACCCTGGAGGGACTGCCCCTCCCAGGTCTAGCCAATTCCGAGATGTGGTAAACAACTCACCCTACCCTATGGCTGTTTACTCCCCAACCAATACAAACCAATCAATCCCGAGCCCTCAGCTCCAACCACCTCCCCTATGTCTCTCACGCTTAGGGCTACTCTTGCCCTCCAACCCATTACTACCACAAAACTAAGATAGCCTCTAATTCCCAGAGCCTCCCGAAATTATTCTAATTAGTCAAATCTAATCCTGTTTACCCTGGTTCACCTGTTCCTTCCCAGAGAAACCCCAATAAAGGCTTTTGCCCACATTTCCCCTGCTCTCTCTGCCTCTGACCAACGCTGGTGGCTCTCCTTGTGCCTTTCCCTGCTCCCAACCCTGACATGGTGTACCCCCCACCTTTCTTTGGATCTGTGAGCATAATACTCTACCTTTTCAATGGCAGCTGTTTCCTGATCTGTTGACCTCACCATACGTAAATAGCAATAAGATCTATACTTAAAAAACATGTACATAAAGAGAAAGGAAGATTGACTAGCAATGGACCATAGCCTGGGCCCTGCGTTGGTCATTATTCAAATGGACTTGGATGAAAGTTAGTTGCTCTGTCACTTATATTTAGCAAAACTGCCACTTTGAATGTTTTAAGAAGCAACTGTGATTTTAGTATAAAGCAGTGTATTATACTGGATAAAAAAGTACTCCGGTGAGTCAACTAGAAATAGCTGTGATGAGGGCATCCACATTAAGATACTACATGTTACAAAAGATGCTGAGGATTTCAAGGGTCCTTGACTTCTATAGCACAGACTGAGTCCAACTGTAAAAACACCTTATGAAGAAAATACAAGGAGTTCTCATTCACTTAAACAATAATCATAAAGTTTTTGTATCAAATGTTGATAAAATCAAATTTATCAAATCAAATGTTTTGGATTTTAATATATCCCATTAAAATGCATCACAGGAAATTCAGTATGAAAAACAAAATTCCTGAGATACTGTATTCTCATCTGGACCTGACTTCTGTCTCTCTCTGGAGACAAAAAACTTACTTCTAGCTCTGTCTCTGGACTCAAAGCTACTCACTGGCAGTTTTGCTTGACTTGGCATGCCTAGCAGCAGACACGTAGTAGGTGCTATATATGTATTTGCTGATTAAAGGAATGTTTCTGGTTATCTTTGAAGGTGAGAGATCAAAGATGCTCACTTAAGAGAGTTAAGTAAATAGGTGGAGCTGAGAATTAAAGCGACTCCCTCTAGCCCAAACTATTACAATCCCACTACATTCTGCCACTATAATCCCACTACAAACCACTACGATCCCACTGTATTGGTGGCCGTGCACATCTTAGCATCTCCTGCCCGTGGGGCTGACCTCTACCTCCTGTCTCTTGCTTGAGGCCTCTGGCTGATGGCTCACCACGAGTGAGCATTTTGCATGGGTCTGGCGTGTGCTATGACAAAAGGCTGAGCTCCTAGTGGTGCATGGTGACACTTACCAAAGGCTCTAGCTCCTTGCGGTCTATGAGGTTCATTTCTGTGACGAAGTAATAGAAGTGCTTGTAGCAGGTGTTGACATGGGCTTCCGCGCCCATCACAATGACCCGGTCAAAGTGGTGGATGTAGACGTGGACAAAGACTCGGAAAAGGCGGCACAGGATCTTCTTGCAGATCTGAAGGAAGTTCTTTGGGAAGGGGACACCTAGAGAAGTTTAAAAAAAAAAAAAAAGAAAAGAAAAAAGCCATGACGAGAAAGCTCTGGAAGCCCAGGAGCACGTGTGTGAGGCTGGAGAACCATCTTGGACCTGAGCTCCCAGACCAGCCTGCTGGTGCCTGGCTCTTGGGCAGCTGTATCAGATCCTGCCCAAAAAAGTGGCTAGAATGCTGTTACATTTATGTGCCAACAATGGCCAGAAAGAGACCAAAAAATGAATGAAAAGGGCCAAGTTTGTTTCCTTATCTGAATGTATGTGTGTGTATGTGAGTATATCTATCTATCTATGTCTATCTATCTATCTATATCTGTATATATCTATATATATCTGTTTATCTATCTGTATCTCTATCTATATGTATAACTATATATCTGTATATATATGTGTATATATTGGTTATATTTATATAAAAATATTCATTTTTACATAGAAATGTCTGCTCTCCCTTCTTGTTCCTCCCCACCCCACACACACACTTTACAGAGCACAAGAAAGTTCATTTTCCTCTTACATCTAACATAAAAAAAAACTGACAGGAGGAGGGCAGTGCTCCAGGGAGACAGGCGCTCCCTGACACACAGTGATAGGGGGATCAATGGGCATTAAGGACTGTAGCAAATCAGAAAGCACCTTCTCCCCAAAGGGAGCTGCTGTGGCAAAACTCCAGCCAAGGATGGCTGTATGGGGACCAGGGCTGTTAGAACTTCTGATTTCTCAATATAATTCAGAAATTTGGAGTTCTTTGTGAATTTGCTCTATTTTTAAAACATTAGCAATTAATCTAAAGTTTTACAAAAATACCAACGGTCAAAATAAGACATCTTTCTAGCTTAATTTCACCTACAGGCTACCAGTGTGCAAATTCTGATCCAAATTTTTCCCAAGATTCACTGTTTCTGAGGTGGGCAAATGCAGCAAATTCCATAGACACTTGGCATTACACTTATTACCACTTCATCCACTTGAGGAAGGTAAGAGTGGGTTATGTGGCCAGAGGAGACACCCAGATTTCCTGTCTGATGACCACTGCTGCTAGCTGGTCGGAGCAACACACATCAGGGTCCACAAGCCCACTTCCTTTTCCCCCTCTCAAACACTGTTTAAACTCTTGTTATTTACACTGTCCTAAGATGGTGACATGTTGTAAGTACAACAGACTTTGATTTCCTGCTCTGCAACTCTTCTATCTGTATGACCATGGGCAAGATATGTAACCTCTGTGAGCTTCAGTTTTGCCATATGTAAATAAAAGTTCCAACAGTTGTGAGGATAAGATACAGATAAAAATTCCCGTGGCTGTGAGGATGAGAAGTGGTACCCATGTGACTTTGGTTTCTCGTCTATAAAAGAAGGACCGTAATAAAGCCTTCCTTGCATGAGTAGGAGGGTGTTAACACAAGTAAAATCCTTCAACAATGCTTAGAACAGAGTAAGAGCCCACTAAATGGAAATGCCCCCCCATTTCTCTGCACTGTAGGGTCTGGAGTACCTTGCTGTTGTTGCAGGGAATATATTACCTTTATCAAGAAAAGGTAGACACGGCTATCAGCCTTTCATCAGAATTGCATAGTGTGCTCAGAGTATGGTCAGAGTGTGCTCAGAGTATAGCCCTGGTCTTCAGGAAGCCTGGAGATTTGGTGTCCGTTCCTCCACAGGGTCCTAGTAGTAGCTGTCTGGTGAGATACTCTGTAATGGGATCAGCTGGGGCCCCCAGGGCACGAGGAGAGAGACAGAACACGACTGGCAGCTGGCAGAGGCAAGATCTGCCTCCCTGGGGCCCAGCACTGATACTGGCTTTTCTTCAAAAACAAAGTGGGACCTATCAAATGAACCCAGGGAGAGACTCGGGCACGGCATGGCAGCTGTCTGGGCAACAGATGCTGGGATTCAGGGATGGAGGTGAGGTAAAGCTGGGGAGGTGGTGGTGGGCAGCCCCTCGCAGAAATTATGGGTGGTTTTCTATGCTGAGGAGAGGCCAGCAAAAAGCACTGCTGCCAGGCTGGGCAAGGTTCTGGAGGTGTCAAAGAAGCTCAAGTCCTAGAGATGATGGAATCCCCTCCAAGTGTGTTCCCATGAGAAGGGAAGCCCTGTAACCCACACAGTGACAGCACCAAGGGTTGACATATGTTTCCTTTACAACCTATCTGCAGAGTAGGTTTTACTACCCATATGTCACAGATGACTAACACGAAAGCTCTGAAGCACAGATTGACTTGCCCCAGGCTATTTAGCTAAAAAGTGGCTGGGCTGGGAACTGGACTAAGTCAGCTTGATTCTAAACACCACAAGATGTGGTTAAGTTTGGAGTGTAACACTCTCTACCAAGGATAGAGGCATAGCCCGACTGCGTAAAAAGGCATCCAAAGGTTACTCTTTGGTGGTACAGAAATATGACTTAAAAAAGTGGTGGGAAGAGAGAGAAGTTTGAAAGAAGTCCACATCCTTGGCAGTCACAGATTCAAGGGGATAAGAGGAAGGTTAATATCCACACTGAGATACCACCTCACGCCAGTCAGAGTGGCTAAAATGAGCAAATCAGAGAACTCTAGATGCTGGCGAGGATGTGGAGAAACGGGCACCCTCCTGCACTGCTGGTGGGAATGTAAACTGGTACAGCCCCTCTGGAAAACAGTGTGGAGTTTCCTCAGGAAACTAACAATAGAACTCCCCTATGACCCAGCAATAGCACTGCTAGGAAGTTACCCAAGGGATACAGAAATGCTGATGCATAGGAGCACATGTACCCCAATGTTCATAGCAGCACTCTCCACAATAGCTAAAACATGGAAAGAGACTAAGTGTTCATCATCGGACGAATGGATCAAGAAGATGTGGTTTATCTATACCATGGAATACTACATGGCAATGAGAAACAATGAAATCTGGCCATGTGTAGCAACATGGATGGACCTTGAGGGTGTTATGCTGAGCGAAATAAGTCAGGCAGAGAAGGACAAATACCATATGTTTGCACATATAGGAGGATTAGGAGGAACTTGATGGAGGAACAAGGGGGAGAAGGGGGGAAATGGTGTGGGAAAGGGAGAGAGGCAAACCATGAGAGACTCTTGAATGCTGACAAAAACTGAGGACTGATGGATGTAGGGGGGAGGGGGGATGGGCATGGAGGAGGGCACTTGCGGGGAAGAGCACTGGGTGTTATGTGGAAACTAATTTGACAATAAACTATTTGTAAAAAAATAAAATAAAATAAAAAAATAAAAAAATTAAAAATTAAAAATTAAAAAAAAAGAGGAAGGTTAATACACTCCGCTGCCTTCAAGGAGCAACGTGTTTTCTCTGCCCATCCCTTAGGACTGTGGATCTGGGACTAATGGTAAAAGCTAACATCAACTGAGCACTTACTATGTTTCAGGGACTGAGCCAAGAGATTTACATAAATTAGCTAACTGAGTTCTCGGAACAAGACTGGAAGACAGGTACTATTATTATTGTTTCCATCTCAAAGGTGAGAAAACAGACTTAGGAAAATTAAATAGGTGCCCACGGTCACCTGCCAAAGGTCACCAAGCTGCAACAGTAGAGGAAGGGTCTGGGTCAACCCCAAAGCCCAGGACCACTTTGAAAACCTGAGCTACTGCTCTGGGGCTCCATACACATGTGCGGCTCTGTGGCCCTTCCTTTCTGGGTGGCTTGAACCCCCTCCAGTGGGTTTATCTTTCATGTCCCCTCCCTCCAGTTTCCGTGGAGGCACACCAGGTGCTAGAGAACATGGGATTCTCAGCTGTGCCAATGCATCTACTTGACCAGCCCCAGGCACCACACACTGACTAGCAGGTAAAGCCAACTCTTGGTCATACCGAGGATGCTCATGGCAATTGCTAGGTCCCTCTAGATGGTCCCCAATTTGCCATCTTTCCCCCATTCCTATCCTGCTCTGCTCTGAACTTCTGGCACTGCCTTTCATTCCATACCTGGTCTCTGGCCTTGCCTTTGTCCTCAAACTTGGTTTGGCTCTTATCTCTCCCTTTTGGGCTATGGCTGGAAATTATCTTGAGAGTAGCTGAGTTGCTTTGAGAATCTGGAAGATCTACTTTTGAAGTCCTAGCCCTACAATTTACCGGCTGTATAGTCAGGTCACTTCACTCTTCTGGATTATAAAATAAAGACATTTGCTTTTCAGTGTCCTTATACTAGTATCTGTACTATAATAGGTAGGTAGTGAGAACTTTTGGACTAAGTTCTATTTTTTTATTTCTCACCCAAATTCCTCGGATTGGTAAAACTCCAGGCTCAGAATCTCTGGACTCTAGTTGCTAAGTTTGATCTGATCCACCATTTTCTCCCTTACACACAATTCATTCTTCAAAAAGGAACGTTATAAATGGTTCAAGTCAGGACGTGCTCAGCATGCACAGTCACCTCAGGCCAACTCTGGAAGCTGAAATGTCCTGGGCTGAGAGTTCTAGGCAGCCCAGAAACCCCAGTGAGCTCTCTGATGACCCAGAGATAAAATCTCAGTTCACGGAGCATGGGTTAAGAGTAAGAAAGTTACGTAGCAGTTGAGAAATTCATTCCATATTATCTATGGTTCAGGAACCACTCCTACAGTTTGTGTAATATTTTAGCTCTTTACCTCCCTTCTCTTCAGTCTTCCAGGTATTAGATTTGTGTATATGTATGTATATGTATGTGTGTATGTATATGTGTGAGTGTATGAATGCATGTATTTATGTGTATGTATGTACATGTATGCATTATGTCTGCGTGGCATGTATGTCTGTGTGTTTTAAATAAGCCTTCAGAAGCTGGGTGGTAGAAGAGACCACTTCCTTTGATGTAGAGAACTGGATGTCCACCCCTTTGGTGGACTCTGGAGCTATCTCACCCTGTGTAACTGGCTTCATGGCAGCAAGACAGGGCAGGACTCCGCCCTGCTCATCCACTCCCTTCCTTGACAGGCCCCAGATGGGCCAGGTCATGAAAACCGATCCATCTGAGGGTTTTTGTCTTCATGGTGCTGCTA